ATTGGGGGAGAACTGTAAGATATATGGCTTTTTGGAGGTGACCTGTAAGATATATTGTTTCGTGGGGGGAAAATGACAGAGGCTGATTAAGTTATATTGAAACGATTTTGGAGCTTCATCACGTCGTCGCAGTCAGTTTCACCAAGTCCGGTCATACTCTATCTGACGTCTGTGCATCCTGACAACAGTATACCTCATAGTTTCCATTGAAAAATGCTACACCGTAAGGCTTTCATGTTCAAAGTACATTCCTTTTTCCTGCTGACTTTCCATAATCCATCTAGTGTCACTTTTCCAGACGGAGATCTTACATGACTTTGTTAAGTACTGGGGCACGTGGACGGCTTTTACCACTGACCTTTGTTTTCTTGGATTCTCACCTGTGACAAAAATTCCGCATTTTGATTACCACGACGGGGGTACGACTTGTTGCTGGTCTCTTTCTAGATGATACCAATAAACCAAAGTTGATCCATATTCCTTTGGTTTCCAATGCAATTACGTATAAGGGATACATTTGTCTTGAAAATTCTAAATTCCCAACCTGAACACATTTTTATTATTTGGATGCACTTATAAATACCCTGTGTCGGAATGGGTTGTTACATACCCTTCCTAAAAGCGATCACTTTTCGGTGACATCACACTACCTACGTAGCGTCAAACAATGTCAAAATGTAGTTCTGATACAATCCTTTCCATTGCGACTTTCATATTCATTTTCATATTCAAATAGTTTTAATATAACTTACTCAACCCATTTTGTGTGGATATCTATATCAATCTATATATCTCTATGTATATACGTATGATTCGTTAGGAAACAATTTTGAGATATATATATATATATATGTTTGCGTGTGTTTTATAAAATAATTATATGGCAACAAGTCAGTTATAAACGTACTTCCCCCCGATGGGTCAGTGGTAAGTTTACAGATATAAATGCTAAACTAAAACGAAGCGAACAAACAATTGTCATAAAACACTCTGAACAAAGATAGAAGATTGACTGCTTACACCTTTTCTCCATCTAAATATAATTAATTACTCAAATAATTGCAGCTTTTCGTCATTACATTCACTGATGAAGATTTCATTTTAATTTGGACACTATTAGGAACCACGTAATCGATAAAATCATGGACTCGCAGGCAACTTGGTGCATATTTAGTTTAAAACAATGGGTTTCAAACTTTAGGGTTAAAATGTATGATACTTGTATACAGATAATATTGTTCGTTTACACTTAAGTGACATTTTATTTGCTTTTGTTCAATTAGTCACTTGTAAACAGAACAGATACCACACGAAGCAGCAATTATATATACTAGCAGAAATAGATGGCGCCACATTCTATTTATTATTTCGGTCACATACATAGATAGATAGATACACACACACACACACACACACACATATATATATACGCTACGTCCTTTATAGTAAGATCTAGGACTAATCATAATTTTATATACACACACATATATATATGTATGTATATCCATCGCATAAGTTCTATACGTATTACATATGTTCCTGTATTTCAAAGCGAATACACAGCGAAATGTTTCATATTCAGACTTAATTATTAAGAAAAGAAGACGCAATGAAAGTACACAGAATGTATTTTTAGGGTTAGTTATCATTCTGTTACTGTGATATATTCTCGTACATTGTCGCGACATGTGTTGTTACAATTATCACTATTAACACAGTAAGGTATTTCTTTAAACAGGCGTTTGTTATCTTATCTTTAATAGTATATCACTCACGGCCGAGACCTATGTTTGGCTTCTTTATTTCCATATCTCTAACTATATACACAGACGCGCACGTACGCAGAAGTATGTATGTATGTTAATAGTATTTCGAAGTTTAACAGAGACATTTTTATATAAGACTGTCTAAACAAAGGCTATATACTTTTACACACACACATGTATATCATCGATTAATGTAATCAATGTAAGTGTTTCCCTTTCCCAAAGACAGTTCCAACTACTTTGGTATCAATGCAGTGACGCAGCTGTTGTACACAAATATGTATATTTATATATACATATATATATATACAGAGAGATCTCTCTCTGTTTGATATTATTTGTTTACCTACTTTATAATATTGCTACATTCACAAATGAAAACTAATGTAAAAGTAAACACTATACTGACAATGCAGAAGCGAGCCTGCGATGTTGGAAAAGAAAAGTGAGAAATTTCTATTAATAGATCAGGAAATCCTTGATTTCATACCATTTAACTAGGCTTAGATTGGCCTTTGGTAGGTATATCAGGAAATCCCTGGTTTCATACCATTTAACTAGGCGTAGATTGATTCATGGTAAAGATCTTGATTTTGGATCCGGGTTCGAATCCGTGCGATACCACAAAATATTCCACGCACTTTTAATTTGGGGAATAGTACTGCTGACTAGCCGCCTTCCCCCTGGTGAGCAGTTCAAAATTATGGACAGTAGCAGATAACCTTAGTAGCGTTGCAATAATTACAAATATAAATTGTATCGTAGGTTACTGTGGGCCGTTTTACAGCCTAAGCTTATCTGCGTTTATTAGACACAGTGTTGTCCCATCAATATATACATTATCAGAAGAACGATTCTAAGCTATCATGGTTTTTCTTTACGGGTTCATACTCTCACCCTTTCCCTTGGTAAAAAAAAAAAAAGTTTCATAAAATTGGAAATTAAGGTCATATAAATAACTCAAGCTTCTGGAGCAAATAATTGTCATCGAGTTCATTTTCCTCTCGTTTTTCATAAAATAAATATTTTCCTCGTATTTAAAAATCTGTTTAACCCCTGGCGTAACTTGTGTTTTATTTTCCCACTTAACTTGGAAAGTTATTTAGCCTCTGTTGCGCATCGCACAAAACCACATAAAATTCAAAATGAATCGTTTAAAGTTTTGTTGGTCTATAATAGTATATCATTGTGTTGTTAAAGCTTAAAGTAAATGGTTAACTCTTATTAAAATTTTCAAATTGTTTGTTTGTTTTTCAAATTAATCACAAAGCTACACAAAGGGCTATCTGTGCTTTTTAGCGTTGTATGTCCGCAGACATACCGCTGTGCCACTGGGGGGGGGGGCAATTTTCAAATTAAACACTATCTTAACAATGCATAAGCGAGTCTACGGTGTTGAAGAAGAGAAAGTGAGAGATTTCTATGAATGGATAAGGAAATCCCATGTTTATAAAGACTACGCAATGATTATATTAATTTTGATATTTAACTCAGTGTTTCTCAACGACCGGTTCGTGAGATTTCACATATATATATGCACACACACACAACAAGAAAAAAACCTTCGCATATAAATTGTACTAGTTTTTCGATGTATCTGCATTTTAGTGATCCTCGACAGTTTAGGGAAGAAACGAACCGGTCCCTGTATCAAAAAGACTAAAAAACGGTGATTTAAATGAAAGAGAATGTTAAACCAACATCGTCTTACTTTTAATGACAATGAGCTACACAATGGGCTGTCTGTGCTGTGCCCACCAAGAGTATCGAAACCAGTTTTAGTGTTATAAGCACCTCAGACTTACCGCTAAGCTACTGGGGGTCATATTCTGAAGGAGTTACGTTTAAATAGTCTGCAACGTGGAATTTTGTCGTATATTTTAATAATTGTGCAAAGTTTTACAAGACATATATGCACATAATCATATCTAATTTTGAACCGACAGGCTAAATAGAAAACAGCTAGTCAACAGTATCCACTTCCAACAAACAGACTAGATAGAAGGCAGCTCGTCAACGGTACCCACTTCCAACCGACAGACTAGATAAAAGGCAGCTAGTCAACAGTAACCACTTCCAACCGACAGACTAGATAAAAGGCAGCTAGTCAACAGTAACCACTTCCAAACGACAAGACTAGATAGAAGGCAGCTAGTCAACGGTACACACTTCCAACCGACAGACTAGATAAAAGGCAGCTAGTCAACAGTAACCACTTCCAACCGACAGACTAGATAGAAGGCAGCCAGTCAACGGTACCCACTTCCAACAGAAAGATTAGATAAAAGGCAGCTAGTTAACAGTAACCACTTCCAAACGGTACACACTTCCAACCGACAGACTAGATAAAAGGTAGCTAGTCAACAGTAACCACTTCCAAACGACAGACTAGACAGAAGGCAGTTAGTCAACGGTATCCACTTCCAACCGACAGACTAGATAGAAGGCAGCCAGTCAACGGTACCCACTTCCAACCGACAGACTAGATAGAAGACAGTTAGTCAACGGTATCCACTTACAATTCTTTGACTTCTCTTTTCTGACTGAATAGTGAGATTTGGCCCTTATTCCTATGACGTATTCATGGCTACGAAGTGCGGAATACATTTTTGCTGTGATAAGTTTTCGATTGAATATCGAAAAATACGAGTTTAAGTAATACTGCATCCTCTACACTGTGTCAGTATTTTTATTTTCAGATGCATATGCTTGTAGGGTAAGAGAGAACCAAAGCTGCTAAACATTGCAGGGACGTTGCCCTTTGATATACGTTTACTAACAACCTTCCCACCACAACAACAAAAAAAAAAGACACTTCGTACGGTTATTCAAAAACACACAAACACTTATATATATATATACATATATAATAAAAGTCTTGGACCATCATATTTGTCTGTGCACGAAAATATTACGTTTTTACATTTCGAAATTAGTAAGACCATATTCATTAGCCTGCAGTAGAGCCTCAGGAAACTGCTAGAAACCTAACTGAATTGATTTATCTAAAATAACTCTGTGACATTTTACAGTACGTTTCTCACGGCGAGAATAATTAAAAAACAGCAATAAATAACTTAAAGGTTGTTACAAAATAACAGGCCAGACACCAATTATTGTTTACTTAATTCACGCATGTCATACATTACTAAAGGCACTCTTCATTTTTGTTTGTTTGTTCACAAAATTTCCGATTTGCTTGCATATCGTCGTTATTAAAAGTTGGGAACTTACCCGTTACACCACTGATTTCAGTTGAAATTTGAGTTGTTGCATCTCTGTTCAAGAGATTAGAGTCTGGAGAACCTTCAAGGTCGTTTTGTATGTGCGATGTTCCAGCAGGATAAACGAATGTTGTAGGCTCCTCGTCAAACTGGATTCTCAGCTAAAGAACAAAACGGAATGAAGAAAGAGATTAAACTACAAAGTCCTGTCTGACCGTAAACATACGTAAGTGAAGATGTTAGCAAGTACAGTGAACATCACTTTACCATTCTTAAAATTAATACTAGCACAAAAACAAGAAATACGTTCAGACACAAGCATGTGAAAATATCCATAATGACTAGATATATTTTGTAACATAATATAATACTAACCACACTTGTGTACGGAAGCACGTTATGTTAATATAACAGTAAACTGACAAACAACGATTTATAAGCATAATAAAATGGTTTATTTTTGAAGAACGTATTACATATTTCGACAGAACCTTGGTCTGTCTTCTACAAGTATTAAGACACATCATACCTGAAGAAGACAGACCAATGTTCTGTAGAAAGATATAGTATGTTCTCCAAAAACAAAACATTTCATTGTGTTTATAGATCGTTGAACTTTTTAATTCAACTCTTTTTTTTTACCTGACACATTATTTTCAAATGCACTCTTAAAAATTATTTATGAAGAAGAAACTGAAATAACGTGGTTTTCATTTCACATACAGTAGTCTATAACCATATCTATATTAAAATCGCCCATCAAAAGGCAGTGATATTCCTTTTATTATAAAAGTATAGACATGATGTCTAAAACTTCCAATTGTTTACATTAAAAGATGTTCAACAACCGAAGCGCTTTCATAACTGAAAACAAAATCAAATGTTTATGAAGGAACTGGGATTTTCTACCTGACACATGAGCTAAACGGCCCCTAATTTTGACCTACCAACCAGCGGGAGAACTGCCAGTCAGAATCACCTCTACATGACAAGGGTTTTGTCCCGCTTTGAAACGAATAACAGGATTGGTCACTCATAACGCAGCCGCAGCTGATAATGCAAAACGTATTCAATACCATAATAGTCCGATGTTATTAAAGCTACGATATTACGAAAACGCTTAAAATATTTATTACATACCTTTAACAAGAAATGAGAAGTTTTCTTTCTCAGAAGATTAGTCATAATTTAGAAACAAACAGGGAAATTTTAACAAGTTATTTTTTTAATAAATAAAAAATGTGTAAAATGGAAATATTGATATGATATTTTCAGAAAAAAATGCTCGATAAGATCAAGGTGTCAATAAGATGTTTAAAGTTAAGAATACTAAAGATTCTGTTGTATATGTTTATTACACCTGTTACACCGATTTCAAGTTACAACCAAAAGGTTTATTTCTTTGTTTTTTAGAGCAAAGCCACACTGGGCTATCTGCTGGGTCCACCGCGGGGAATCGAACCCAAGATTTGAAAGTTCTTAGACTTACCGTTGTCCCACCAGGATAATACAAGTCAAAGATGGAGACGTCAGGAAAATGGAAGCTTCTGAATATCAATGCGTTTAGCAGGGTTTTTCTTTTCGGAGTATACCGCTTTGACTGCTAGTTACAATTTTTTTACACTTCCAAAAGTTACAACTTGAAATAATACATTCATGTAAAATGTACCTCAGGACGATAATGTTTTTGATGATTATTTCCTAACATCAAGTATTATAATAGACGTTTCTCGTACAATAGCGTATTTCGTGAACTTATTATATTACTGATCATCATCAGTGACCCAAAAGGTACAATAGAATCCTTACAATCCATCTAAATAAACTAGTAAAAACAGTTTATAGAAAGAAAAATGTTACCTTCTTATTCCTAGTCGTAAGAAAGGCACTTTTTCCTACTTTTGTGTTCTCACCAATAAATGCAAGTCCTGAAACCGGTGGGAAGTTTTGACGAACATCTACTTCTCTGTAGCTGGATTCCTCGTCTTCGTAGTCTTGACTCTCGCCAAAATTACCGTCAAACACTATACCATTATACAAATCACTACCTGTTAGTGCCTTCTTCTGAAAAACAGGGTCAGAAGATTTGCCACAAAATTGAGGTTTCAGAGCTAAGTTTGCCTGTACATTCTTCCCTCGAAAATCAAAAACTATTGTATTGTTAGGAGGAGGATTTTTCCATAAAGAAGCCTTATTACCAAGTAGTGTACTTGGTCGAAGAACTTCTTCGACGTCACCTTCTTCTCCAACGAATTTTTCTTCTTGTTGATTTCGTGAAACATCGGGTGTTTTGGTAGAGTATAATGTTGAACAGTACTCTTTCACAGCTTCTGGAAACTTTTCGGCTTCACTAGTTTTATGAATAACGGGCTTATGCTTATTTTCATATCTTAAGATAGGATCAACAGCTGGTGGTTGATTTTCACGAGGTTTCAAAGGCTCTTTGGGCTGATACTTTGGTGATGGAGAGACCGTTGCTACTAGTGCAATGTCTGTATTTTTGGTTATTGAACTGCATACTGGGATTTGTAAATTTGACGATAGTTCTCGTTTAGGAACAGGAGGCGCCTTGGTTTTTTTTGTTCGTGTTACGGATCTTTGACTAGGCACGTGCTTAGACCTCGGTTTTACTAACGGAGCACTCTTTCCTCCAAACACCATGGTCGATCCCTGAGATCGAATTCTTTCCAAAGCTTCACTGGAAATAAACCTCACACCATTTTCAAGTTCTCGACTTGCTCTGCAGTGTCCTGGCGAAATATCTTTGCTATTTTCTTTAGTTTCACTGGTTTTTGTTTCTCCCTCGTCACAAGTAACTGAAGGACTCCTTTTGAAAGTATTTTGGGGTTTGAAACTTACTTTTACGTCATTTTTGTATGTCTCCAACTTGAATAGCCCACTTTTCTGATTATATCTGTCATTGGTTCGTTTGGTGACCGATTTGTCAAGTAACTCTTTTTGTGAGTGGGTTGGAGGTGTAACAATCAACGTTACTGGGCGTCGAGAGGTTATGTTTTCCAATCGACTATTCACCATTGGTGGTCTTTTGAGTTTCATCTGTTGATGAGAATTAATATTATTATTTGGTAATTCAAAAATTCGTTTATAGGTACTGACAGTATCACGTTTACGAAAGTCATCGTCATTTAAATTAAAAGTAGACTTATTTCTATTTTCTTCCTGAATACTAGCACTCGGTGAGCACTGACCAGATCTTCGAGTTTTCGCAGAATGTTCTACGATTACTACGCTTTCGTTAATGAGCACTGAACTGGATACTTGATCACGAAGGGAAGAAGAAAGATTTTTAACGGGTGGTGGTCTTCTGTGATTTGTTTGCTTGAACTTGTGGCTATGCTGTAGAAGCTTAGCTGACTCACTGAGCATATTATCTCTACTTCTGGAAATTCTAAAATTATCGGGTTTAAATGAGTTTTTTTCAGATTTATTATCTGCAAAATATGCCTCTTCTGATGTGGTCGTGTTAGTAGTCACTTGGATTGATTGTCTTAGATTTTCAGTTGTTTCTACGCCAGCCATTAATTTCCTATTCCCAGCGTTTTCTTGAGCGCTATTATACTCTATTTCACCAACGAACTTGGATTTAAGCTTATTCACTATTCCAGGTCCCCACTCAAGTTCCTTCTCATCTTTTTCCATAAAATGCGAAGAGGAGGTTAAACTAACAGTGCTAGATGGCGGAGATAACACGTGGGATCGATCATGCGAGTTGTCTCTGTCGCTTAGTTTCTTACTTTTACAAATTTCTTTGTGACCCTTAATGTAATTTTCTCGGATACAGGAATCCGAATTAATTCTAGCTGTGTTTGGTACCTTCATTACGTTACTTCGATTCTCGACATGCATTTGCTTTACGTTTCTAACTGACGGCTCTGAAAGTTTGATAGCGACAGATAAACTGGTTTCTCCTGCACTGGTCCTTGTTTGACCACTAGGCCCAATATAAGGTCGAGAAGTCGTGCTAGATAGTAGCGGTTGCGATACTGGTGGCTGAAAAGACCGCCCACCCGCACTTTGCTTACGCGTGCTGTGAAAGTCTGCCTTAGCCTGGGGGTGAGAAGACTTCCATGGTTCGGTAGTTGTTACAACATAACGTTTCTCGATAGCAGGGTCCGAAATCACTGGCCTGTAGAAAGTCCGCTTCCTCTTCAAAAGTTCCTCAACCCATTTGGGTTGGTCATCTTTTTGATCAATGGATGACAGCATAATACCTTCCTTATGAAGTCTCGTCATCAAGTTCTGCCTCTTACATGAACCTATCTATTTTTTTATGCCCCTTTGTTTTGTATTGTGTTATTATATCCAGGGCGATCCTTAAACCACGTCAAACCGGTCTCTCACTGGCTCACTTGCCCTGTTTCACAGAAACTTTCACTAACAATGAGGGAAATCCCAAATTCAGCAGTCTTCATTCTATGAATATGCTTATTCCTCAGAAGTTAAGACACAAAATGACGTCGAGCATTAACTCGATTTTCGTACACTAAATTAGCAGAGATTTAATTTAGTTCCCTATCAAGGATTAAACAGATAGCATAGAAATATACACACTAATAACCATTTTACCACTAATTAAGAATAAATTATTATAAGTTCAATGTAAGGTATCAGCCACTCCTCCCCTCTCATGAACGGCTCAGCGTCATTTTGGAAAACTGAAGTTTTACGAAACCTCTCCTTTACTCTTATTATACACTATCAATATTAATGACTGTAGCCTCGAGATCAAAGTTTGCTGATAAAGCAATTTTGAGTTGCCTCGATAGAAAAAATAATTAAAAGCGTTATCGTGGCAACCTGCGTTATTGCTGCCACCTATTGAGAACTAACTGTAGTTGAACATCACACGGATCGAGTGTTGTTCTTTTTGGCGTAAAATGTTTCCAAAATATGCGCCTTCACTTGTGTTTTTAGCTTGTTTTTATTTGTCCAACGCCTTGTTTTGTTTTAGTTAAATTACAACAATAAATGTTTCAAAACTACAATTATCAAAATTCAACATAATGAAACTGTAAACTCCTCAGTGCTCACTCTAACTCTTTGAAAACGGAATATTTTACTACAGTACCTTAACGCCATTTACATATTCATAATCAAAATTTAAAAAAAAGGATAATGTCGGGATGGCAATAACAAAACGTACTTAAACTGAATAGCACTATAAAGTCCCACAATGGCTAATTCCCATAAGCTTGTAACATTCACTTACTGGCTATTTATGTAGGGATTTGTGTATAATTTTGTATATTCATCCCTACGTTGTTTTTGTACTTTTTGACATTGCCATCCCTACATCATCCCTTATTTTTTTATATTTTGTTATTACTTGTTTTTCATCTTTACTTAAACAATGCCAATGAATATCAATGAGTGGTGGTTGCTATGAAGGCATCAGTTTTAGCCTGGCGTGATGAGTTGTCTTGTGTTGAAGTTAATGAAATGCTATACTACTTCTGCACTTCCCCAAGTTAAATTCAACATTTTGGTGTGTAAATCATCACAACAACTTCAAGCATTGGTTAGCTAGCCCTTCTGACGTCAGCATCAGAAAAATTAGCAGAACATTTGGCTGCTACGCTACTCGCTGGTTCTCTGCTTTAACGATGTTTTGTGGCTAGACTTTTTTAATAGCTTTTGAAAACCTAAGTCAGGTGTTTATAAAAAAAAAGTCTCTTAGATTGTTATAAGAGATATTTGTGACTATGATGAGCAATATATAATATGCGGCGGCCATGTTTTTTTCCCATCCTACCCCTAGATACTAAACACTACCTTACTTAGTGGAACCATTGTAGTTTACTCTATCTCCCAAAGTTTTAATTTGCCCCATAATTTGTTGTACAACATTATTTATAAACAAATGTGTTGTGATTATTTTACAATGCTTCAGTTCGTCTTAGATATATTTTAACAAATAAGATGTGAAACGTTTCATTATTTAAAAGGATTATTTGTGTTTAATTCTATATAGGTGGGACGATGTTCTTTATTCTATCCTGTGTCTAGTGGTGGGACGATGTTCCCTCTTATATCTGATTTCTAGCTGTGGGACAATTTTTTTTATTCTATCTGGTCTCTAGTGGTGGGACGATGCTCCTTATTCTATACGTTTCATAGAGATGATATAATATTCATTATTCTGTCTGGTTTCTAGCTGCGGGACGACGTTCTGTATTCTATCAGGTTTCTAGCTGTGGGACGATGTTCTTTATTCTATCCAGTCTCTAGTGATGAGATGATGCTCTTTATTCTATACGTTTCATAGAGGTGATACAATATTCATTATTCTGTCCGGTTTCTAGCTGTGGGACGATGTTCTTTGTTCTATTCGATTTCACTGTTAGTTTTGCGAATCACTTACAGACACGGATAAAAAATACTACAGAAACAATAGTAGCAATTTTAAGAGTATCAAAATAACGCAGATGTGACGCTGTACGTCGAATTGCAACTATTATAAAAAAAATTAAAACAAAAATTCTCAAGACTTAGTTTTCGCTAATTTTGTAATTATGCCATCGATAAAACGTAAACCCTCTTCTATATACAGGGTGTCAGTTTTAAAAAATCATACCAGAAAAACACCGTGTATTGCACGTGCAAGAATAACGTTTAAAGTTTGTTTTCTTTTCAGAACATGATCTTTGGCCAGTTCTTTATTGTAAGGGCAGCTGTTACGGGAAAGATGTATTTTGACACGCTGTAAAATTTTACTTTGCCTCAATATTGGAGAAATTACAACCCAACATGTTATTACAGTATGACGGTGTCCCTCCTCCCTGGAGCCTTAGCATTCACAACATACACAGTGAAACATTCCCCAGTAGGATACGCTAATGGATTTTCTATTTCATGGGGCTTCATAAAGGACATGGTTTACACTAGTACAGTTGCGAATAAGGATGATTTATACCAGTATGGTTGCGAATAAGGATGAACTGCGTCAAAGTATCCAAGTAACCTTCACAAAGTTTACTCCGGCAATGTTGAAAAACACTTCGCAAGAGTTTGTTTGTCTGTTATCAAGCACAAAACTATTTGGGCTGCAGCTCATTTCGGGTATATAAACCCGGTTTTTATAGTTATGAGCCTCCAGAGTTACCGCTGAGCTAGTAGTGGGTCTTGGCAGGAGATTGGAATGGAGACGTTAATCTATGTTGATTTCATGTTGTACAAATAAATATATATATATATTATTCTTGCACGAGCAATAAACCGCTGTATAGCGTAGGTCAGAAACGTTTTAATAGTAGACTGAATCAACCATCTTCAGTTTTGTAGCAGTAGTCTAGGAGGAATGCACCCAGTGCGATTTATTGATAACGAGTAGCAACCCATGGGTCTTCTGATTCACAGTTTTGGCAAGCTAAACACTGGACCACACCCAGCTCCATTATGTATGTATATGCACTGGTCGGCATGGCTACGTTAGTTACTTCTTATATATAATAGAGGGCAGATCTTTTACCCGCATTTTTATTTTGCAACTATATTGCAGAAGGTATCAAAGATAACATGCTTGAATTGAAGCTACAATCCTACATACTTAATTGAAAGTTCTATATTAATTATTTTGTAAAATAGCTTTTTTTTTCTGTACTGAAAGAAAACAGTATTTTTAGCGTGATAGTTACGGGTAACATTAGTTTTTACTATGTTATACAATGTACGTATTTTTTTTTTAAAACAGTCAACTCTTTGACATTTGGAATCATGAATTTCAAATCTTTCTTCATTCAATCCGCTACAGAGTTAACGTCAGAAACATTCTGAAACGTAAACAAGCCCTCTATAGTTTCTCTGGGCATTTTAATATTAAAAAAATACTTACACCAAACCCTACACCTTCCTCTGTCAATGAAGTGATACAGTAAAGGCTATAATTCTACACTTTTACTCACACCTTCCTCTGTCCATGAATCAATACAGTGAAACCCATAATTCTACACTTTTCTCTTACGTGAAAATATGCAGTAAAACATATAGTCCTGCACTTTTCTCCACATCATCATCTCTCCAGAAGGCGTTGTAATAGAACTTCTATAACCGTTAACGTTTTACAAACTGAACTATCAAAGTGAGAACAATGATTGGCCACCTACATATCATAGCCAACAGCTGTATAAACAACTTATTCTGGAAGGGCCGTGGTTGCGAAGGAAGTGAAGAAAGCTTTTATATTTTGACATCTATCCACCAGACTTTTGTTTCAGTTCATTCATTCTTTGAACGGAAACTGGAGATTTTCAGAAATCATGTAAGGAGACACTAAAGACCGGTGAGCTAATCATGTCTTAGATACGTGAAAGTACTGTTATTTAAACCACAAAATTATAAAACACTTGGCTTGTTAATTACTGACACATATACCAGAAGAAAAAAAAAGCTTGAAATAAATTTTAACTTCTTTGTCACAAAACATTCTGTTCAATGTACAGACTCCGAACGTATGACTAAGAAAATATTATTTAACTGGCAACTGCGTATTAAGTTTTGTTTACGAACTAGAATGTAAAGTAATAATGGCTGGAGACGGCTTGAATGGGAAATGAAGAAAAACGTTAATATAAGTTTAACATAACAGCAAATGTACAACGTTTCGACAAGGTTTTGTCATCATTGAAGAATCTAAAGTGTTCTCAGCAGAATACATTGGCGAAACTGGTCGGCTTCACATTACATATTAAACAGCATTTCAGGAAGTTAAACCCAAAATTTAATATTTTATTAGTTAATGGCGAATTTGTTAAAAATAATTTACAAATACATTTTATATATATATTTGAGACTATAAATTCTCCATTCTTAGACAAACATCCTCCTCCCCCGTGGGTAAGCGATAAGTAATAGCTAACACTACTCACCGCCAACTCATCGAATAGTAAGATGTGGTTGTTATTCTACGGATCCAAAGCGCGGAACGAATTTTTTTCTGTAACGGGACGCGAACCACGGATTTACATTCCGGCACTCTTAACACTGGGCCAAGCGGTAAGAAATAAATATAAACTATTAATATACTTCTCACAAATATGTAAATATTTCTCAACATTAAGCAAAATCGTTTTATTTTGACTTTTGAGGCTCTGGAATCAACATATTTTGGGATGGAAGGGTATATTTTGATGACTGAAAAGTTAAACATTTATTAATAGCTTCAATCAAAGAAATATGAGTGAATCAGAACTAGTCATGACTTACTGGCTCTTAAAACAAGTGGCCTCCCCAGTGGCACAGCGGTATGTCTGCGGACTGACAACGCTAGAAACCGGGTTTCGATACCCGTGGTGGGCAGCGCACAGATAGCCCATTGTGTAGCTTTGTGCTTAGTTCCAAACAAACAAAATCCTTAAAACAAGTGTTCTAAATGTTGTTTAATAAACGTACTGGGATTGTGTCATATCACAAGTTTATTTTCGAGATCTAGACAAATAATAACAATAAAATAAGTTCTATTGTGTTAAGATATGTACTGTTTAATATAAATCGTATATGATGGAAAACAAACTCTTCTTTTTCCAACATTACAAACAGAGACTTGTGAGGCAGTGGTGGGTTCATATAATGGAAAACTTGTAAGTAGGAGTGACGTAGGGCGTAAAATTTTCAACACAATTATATAGTAGACCAATCAACAATCCTGGTTACATACAAACTATCACGCTAAGTTCAAGGGGTTCATTCATTAAACTGTACTTTCCTAAAGAAGTCAACTTCAATGAGTCAAAAAATGAAAGCCGCTAACCTCGGAGTAAGTCAGGTTACTAACTAATTCCGCTGAAGTACAGATAGTTGAAGTTACTTCGTTTACAGTATCTCGTTACCTATATATAAATACAGATGTTATATTAGTTCAAGTATCCGAACACCTGTAAAATGGATTAAACGAAAGGAACAGTCGACGTGCTGTCATCTATACAAAGACATGCATAGCTCTGTTATTCCTGTTCACACCAACTAGTTTTCAATCATCGGTTCAGCTGATTGCGAGAGGATGCTTATGATTAATTAAATTGTATTCATCAAGACTATAAGGCCAAAGGTTAATTTAAACCAAGCTTCAGTACCACTAATACTGAAGTCTCCCCGGTGAAGCAGCACTGTGTAGCTTTACGCTAAAATAAAAACAACTGCAGTTAACACCGAAAATGTGAGTTACAAAAGGATATGTCAGGTAACAATGACCTTCAGGAAGTTAGAAACAATACTATTAGGGCTAAACGTAGTGGATTTAATTGTAATGAGCATGTTTTATTGAGTAATATATTTTAGCCTTTAGCTTATGCAGATGAAGAAATATTAGAAGGAAGGAAAACAAAAGGGACAGAAGAAGATGTGAATGATAACCAAAAGGAGGTTATAGTTATAGATGATTCCTTGATAAGGCATGTGGATAGGATAAAATGTTGGGTAAATAGGGAGAAAAGAATTAGATATACTACCCAGTTGGAGGATATAACTGACAGAACAAGAGATATAATACTGGGGACTAGAAATTATGCATTTTTTTCTTGTGCACGTAGGAGCTAATCATGTAGAAAAAAATAGATCAGAGAAGCCAGTTGATAAATAGAGGGGGTTGATAAAAGCATTTAATGAAAAGGGCCATAAACTGTGTCACAATACTGCCAAAAATTAATTATGGGGATGAAATTATAAGGAGGTCACTATGACTATTGGACTATGGGCTATCTGTGCTCTGCCCACCACGGGTATCAAAACCAGATTTCTTGCATTACAAGTCTACAGACATACCACTGTGTCACTGGGGGCTTCCTTATAGAAAGAAAAGGGTAGCTGCAAGTAAAAAAACCAGGTTGGCTCACAAAGAGTATAAGAAATGAAAATTGACCAGTATGATGGGAGACTTAGAATATTATAAAATATCAAGAAAGTTGGTGAAACAGGAAACTAGGACATCAAAAAGGATGTATGAGAAAAGGTTGACTGAAAATGTAAAAATTAACATTAAGGATTTCTTTAAATACATTAAGAGTAAAGAAAATGTTAGGATGGGGGGTAGGACATTTGAGCGATGATGAAAGAAGGCTTGTATCTGATAGTTATGAGATGGCTTGGTTATTAAATTCTGCTTTTCTTCAGTTTTTACTGATGACAATTTAAGCAGTATTCCTCATCTTGAACAGTTGATAGATGGAAACAAGATGATCACATTAATTCTAAGCTTGTTAAGAAAAAATTGAGAATTTTAAAGAATGATAAGGCTCCAGGGTCAGATAATATTTCCCCCCCAAGGGTTTTGAAGGAGGTTAAGGATTGGATATGCAAGCCACTTGCTATTATTTTTTGTAAGTCCTTGAATAGTGGACAGGTGCCAGAGGATTGGAAGTTGGCTAATATTACTCCTCTTTTCAAGGGAGGTGATAAAAATTATCCTAGTAATTATAGGCCTATTAGTCATACATCAGTTGTGGAAAAAGTTTTTGAAAGTCTGATAAAAGATGCTTTGCAAAGTCATTTAACAAAGTTTAAAAAATTTATTGGAAAGTCAATATGGTTTCACTAAGGGAAAATCTTGTCTTACAAATTTTTTGACATTCTTTGAAAAGGTTATTACTTATGTAGATGAGGTTAAGGTGTAGATTTACTCTATCTGAATTTTCAGAAAGCATTTGACAAGGTGCCACATAAAAGACTTATAAAAAAATTATCTCTATACATGTAGGAGATAAGTTAGCTAATTGAATAAAAGTGTGTCTGGATGAAAGAAAACCATGGGTTGTTATACATGGAGTTCAGTCAACTTGGATTAATGTCACAAGTGGGGTACATCAGGGCTCAGTCTTAGGGTCTTTGGTCATTTTTATTTACATCAATTACATAGGTAAAGAAATGGTCAATAAATGACTTAAATTTGCTGATGATATTAAGGTCTGGGGTGTTGTTGGCTGTGAAGATGCTGCTGCTTTACAAAATGATTTAGATCATTTAGTGAATTGGACAAATAAATGGCAGATTGGTTTAAATTATAATAAATGCAAGATAATGCATATGGGTTATCATAATTTGAATTATAAGTATAATT